TATAACATAATACAGGTTTAATTAAAATCTATAAAAATAAATCTCGCGTTTGATTAGTTTACTGAACGCTCTATTTTTCTTTTGATTTAATAAGCTTAGTTATTTTTTTCTTCCGTCACGTCGGTTTTACTCATATATATATATTATATCTTATAGCTAATATTGGTACATCATTGATTGAATTGGTAGGAAAAAATAAGTGAACCATCTCAAATTTGTAAATGTTAGCTAGATGAAATGGAAACCGGTCCGGACGTTCCATGTGCGTTCGTGTGTGTGTGTGTGTGTGTGTGTGTGTGGTACACGAGACTAGGTTATATATTGCGTATAGAGCCATAGCGGACAGGAGAAAGGACTCCTATTTTAACAGCGCGTGGAACGCCGGACGGAAGAGACGGATCGTAAGTATAATATTATTGTATAGAGGTGTGTGAGAAAGTCAAACGACGAATTTAAACTACCAAATAGAGACACGTAGGTATACTTGCAGCAATCGATGTGCGTGTAAATAAATATTGGCGGCGATATAATTATACGCAGGACATTATTTTTTGATATTTAACAATAGCTGTATAGTACCTATAATAACGTATACCAGTTCAATTATATAAAAACAACTTTAAACGCTCAAAATCTCACGGTTAAATAAATACAGTTGTGATGAAAACGAGAGCTGATACCACTGAAAGGTAATAACTATAAATTATCGAATGATTCATAAGTTTATAACAACGTATTATATTTTTGAGACATATCGAAGTTCTGATAAAGATTTTCGGGACACCACGACAAACACGTGTAGACAGTGGACACCTAATATATTACAATATACAACTTGAAGTAAAATGTATAACTTGGCATCAATATGACCATAAATAATATCCATGATGCCTGATTATGGTAACTATAGCGACTAAATCAAACAAGCCGTTGGGGAGGGGGCTGGTCAGACCGGCCAGTGGCCACCTCGAGAATATTTTGTTGCCGTTCCTAGTATTATAATTAAATATTCAATTTTATTTCTCACTCCTCTCAGAATGTAAAATATACTCATCGACTTGTCTGGAGTCGAGCAATTTATTATACGTATAGATACTTACTCAGAACAAATAATATTACTCGTTTTTTTCTGCTAAAAATATTAGCTGTAGGTACCTACTTAATGATCAATAACTATCCTGTACTGGAGTAAGTACATGATTTTATAATATTATACTTTTGTTAAAAGTAATTAATCAAGAGATGTGACTGTCTATACTCTATATTAACAAAAAATAATAAGTTGTCATTTTTAGGGTTCCGCCCGGAGCCTATTATAGCAACAAATACTAAAAATCCTTTTTTTTTATTCCTTTTTTTTCGAGTTAATCGAGGGACAGAAGAGGAACCGCTTTAACTTTACTTCTCCTCAATACTAAAAATCCTAGAATATATAATATAAGCAGTGTTGCCAACGTAACTGATGATGGTACGGAACCCTTCGTCCGCGAGTCGGACGAGTCTTGGCCGGTTTTTTTTTTTTGGTGTAGGCACTCCCAGAAATTCCCGTTCTACCCGTTTTTGAAACTTGTGAGTGCCGACATGAATTAATGAAGCAAATGCAACAAAATATTTTGTTGTACTGACAAAATAAAATTTAAAAAATATTTACTTATAAGTTTAAGAGGACAGGTTACATGAAAATAAAACTATTTTATCAACATTCTTTGTGAGTTTGTTGTGTGACTGAAATATGTATAAGTGGCAAATATACATTTCAATGTGTAAGTAATACTAAGTATTTTATAATTAAACTTTTTATATACTTATGTTAACGATCCCCTTAACTCAAAGTTATATAACGTATGAAAACAACTAGATAATAAGTAGATACACAGTGGCGGATTCAGGGGAGGGGCACAGGGACACGTACCCTCCTGTAAATTTTCTATCGACAATTTTTTTATGTCACTACGAGTAAGAATAATACTACCAACTATTAATTATTATTAATTATTATAATCATTATTGTTTAAAAATGATAGTATGTATGTATTATTAATTAAAATTCAAATTATACAATTTATACGCACCCCCCCCCCCCCTATCAAAATATCGAAGATCCACAATCAACCACGAGACAACTACTATGGTTATCAGTGGCGTAATTAGATAAAAATCTAGGGAGGGCAAAAAAATTAACCTCCCTTTCGGCCGTTCCTGTAGTTATAATCGCGATTATTTTTGGAGGGGCAAAATTATACTTTTGCCCCCACTAACTTTTCTGGGGGGCAAGTGCCCCCCTTGCTCCCCTCAATTACGCCACTGATGGTTATCGATGACACATTTAAGCCCTGATTCTGAAAAACTTCTTAATATTTCAGATATAATACCTATACTACATATATATCCCGAATATGGCATTAAAAAAATAAGAAAAATAGGAGTTAATATGAGTTAATGACCCCTTCCTCCTAAAAGTAAAGTCTATAATCACCTCTGCTAACTAGCCGAACAATCTCGCAAGGATAACTGGATAACAATAGACTAAATGGGTTGACCTTATTGGAGTGTCACATAAATATAAAAATTATGCCGGACCAACTCATTGGTGAATAAATTAAGCTCAAAAAATAGAAAGTTGGCTTTTATGTTATAGGTTTTAATGACTATGACTATGCGTAATTAATATTGCAAAGTGATAACTAATTATATTTCAACGTCACATATTATATTAATTGCAATAGCATTGAGTACAATTACTAAAAACTATACTTACTAAATTATAATTTATACTTAAAGGCAATAGGCATTAGATAGTATTTTAGCAATTTATAATATATTTGAACCAAGTCTAGGTAAAAATGTCCGAGGATAAAATGTCTACGTTAAAAGTATCAGTAAATTTTTCCAAACTCAAAAATTTCCATGATAAAATTGTCCAAAATAAACAACTATTCTTGGCAAAGTTGTTTGGGTTTAAAATACGATAAATAAACAGATGAAATAGATTATTATACACAATTACATATAACTATATCTATAACTAACTAAAAATATATTTACAACATGGATTTATATTTTATAAAAATATACATTTAATATATTTTTTTTTTAAGTCTGATATTGCTTAAAATTGTCTTTATCTTAATTATTAAATACAAAATAAAATTTCTGGTTATCGAAAAAAAAAATCTGATAATTAACATATAAACCACATATTACTTAAAAATTAAAATGTAAAGGTTAATGAAAAATACTTTAAAAAATGTCCATAATATCATAATTTTTATACTCAACACGTATTTTTTTAATTTTTTTCTTTCAAATCAACATAATACATTTTTTTTTTTCATTGGATCTTGTCCAATTTCTCTTTGGTCTAATTTCACTAATTAATACAAATTAATAAGGCATAAGCTAATTTATGTTGCTCTATTATTCCAATTTAATAATCTAAATTTTTTTTTATTATTGATACTTTTAATATTGGAAAATGTTATTATTTTACCACAGAAATTTTTAATTATGAACAATTTCATATCGGACAATCTTGATTTCAGACATTATTGTAGACTACCATTTTAACTATATATTGGGTGAGGATTTGTGTACCATTTAAGGCAATTTTGCTTTAGAGGGGTGAGTAACCTCCTCGAGTTTGTGAGCTCTGGATAAATACATATAATGTCTCCCACACTAAGTCATAACACTAAATACACTACTGATACTGAAGTTCACTTAAGCATAACTTATTAAGTACTATATTTTACGTTAATATAATATGGTCTATATGTGCATTGTGCAATTTAAGAAAAAACGATGTCACTGCAGTTGCATTAGTTTCTTTTTGTCCTAATTACTATCGTAAAACACGCCATTACTCTCAAATACAAAAGCGTAGCCAAGAACTACTTTACTAGAGTATTTTATTATATTTTTGTACTTTATAACATGGAGCGAACTGTGAATAAGTGAATAATTGTTAATTACCGTGGCGTAGCCAGGGGGTGTTTTAGGTGTTGAAACACCCCCCTCGTGCAGTATTTATATCAAAAATAATAAAATTTTTATAATAGGTATAGGAATACAATCATTTGGTAGTGGAAATATGTATTTCCGTTCTACAACGGTTTAAGATAAACTTCATCTAGTGCACACTGTGTCGTATTATTGCAGTCGTGCAGATAATAGTTAAACTACACCACCATATGTAATTTTGCGTTATCCACTACACTGGTTGTAATAATCATTATCATTCAACTATTTGATTATTTTATAATTACCTCGTGCTTACACAAGTGGCGGATTCTGGGGAGGGGTACAGAGGCACGTGGCCCCCTGTCAATTTTCGGTCGAGCATTTTTTTTATGTAACTACGAGTATCAAATGAAAAATTTAGTTAATAAGAATAACACTACCAACTAAAATTCAAATTATACAATTTATATGTGCCCGCCTTTCAAAATATCGAAGATCCACCCCTGGCTTACATACCGTCAAATGTGTCAATAATCGTTATCAATATAAATATTACCTATCATTATATTGTTAATATTATTAATATTTGAATTATAATTATTTATGAAAAAGTAAAACAATTTATTTAAAAAAAATATTTGTAAGTTAATCGCATATGATAGTTTATAACTACATTATTGTACTATTGTAGGGAGTGTGAAATCCTTCACATGTTACATTTTATTACAAAAAAAAAGACACCCCCATAAAAAAATCCGGGCTACGCCACTGGTTAATTATCATATCATCATCATCAATCATCTTTAAATAAAAAATAAGCGAGTTCGGAACCCGAACGCTTGCCGTAAAAAGAACGACTCGGCCGTACTCGCTGGCTATAGTAATTAACGGTGTCGTATCCGTCGTCTGGTGAATGTTTGTATTTTTTGATGACTGTTTAGACCGAGAGTGTTTTTATAATTCACTTGCAATTTTTTCTCCAACCGTATATACAACTTGCTCTACTTCTGTCAACCGTGATCAACTTAAAACCATCAACTATGGATGCCCGTAGCGAAATTAACATCGACGAATTATTGAGAACACTTATAGATATACCCTCGTCGATGAATGCATTCGTCGACGAGGAAGACAGGACAATTGAAGACGTCGTAACCTGCACTCTCCTGGGAGAGATCATGGACGCTGTGTTCATCGACGAGGTAACGCGCGTACACGAAGGCCGGCGGAGATGTCCCGACGATGGTCACCGAAACAGAGATCGACGAGACAAAGGTCGACGAAAAGTTGGTCACGTATGCTGAGGTTGATATTGAAGTAAATGTACATATGACAAGACGAGTGAGACGCCGGCCGAGGAGAAAGTCGAAGAGAGGGTCGAGGATGTACTGGCCCGGCAAAACGACCAGGAAGAGCCTCCAGCAGTACAACGCAAAGGTCTCCGTATGCAGCCCAGGCGAATTATGGCTGCTACGTGGAAAGAAGCTTGGCGGTTTGCTGTGTGGGTGCTCCCGAGCTGAGTGAACCCGCACAGTTCACCCTTCCCTCATCCTCGGGCAGAGGAGCACCAGACAAGACCGCGGCGACATGGGGGGATTGGTACGTGACAGAGCACTTAACGGTGTACGGTGATAAGTCACCCGGTACGTTCTCCGGTCACCCGCGGAACGACGAGATGGCAGTCGATGGCGTCGTGAGCTCGGGGTTGTTGACACGCGAGACCATCAGCAGGCGACGTCGGTGGCGTCGGTCACGCGAGGAACGACGGACGGACGACGATGGATGGACGAAAACGATGGAACGGCAGCTAGCTATGTACCGGCTCGGGCAACGATACCGCCTCGTAGACGACGGTACACTTTGACGACGGCCGCGGCGTGTACGTCTTATAAATCACTTATTAGGATATTATAGGATCGCGCAAGTTCCCTCCCCTTTTTGGCCAGTGGTCGTCCCGACGGCCTAGTCACACCGCCGGTTCCGCAGCACCAAATATATGTCTTCGCTCGCCCAGTGCTTTTGTGTCTCTGTCGTCACCACTCGCCGTCACAACAGTCGTCTTCAACGCCCGCACATGACACTCCAATTTTACCAATTGATACAACTTTGTCTACAGAACATAATATTATATCATTGACCAACACAATTAATATTTTAATTTATATTTATATTTATTATTTACTTGACCTAAATCTATTGAAAATTAATTAGATAGGTAGGTACATACTGATTTCGAAACAATTGTTAATAAAATAAGATTTACGTCTATCATAAACAATTTATTATGTATTTATGTAGGTTAAAAAAGTATCTATACTTATCAAAACGTATTCTCAATATTATTAGGTTGAATATTTCAAAAATGTAGTCCATAATTGCATCATATTTTACTTTTTTTATGATAGTTAAGTCTTGGAAAACACTATCATCATTAAAAGTAATTAATAATAATTAATAATATTGAAGCTAATTGTTTTGTTATAATTTAAAATAGGTTATTGCAAAAAAATATTTAATTTGTTTTAATATTCCAATTAACAGTCAAATGTGGTAGTTTTTATTTTACTCGAGCATTTGGTAATGTTATAAAAAAAGTAATGATTACCATTTTTAATGTACGTGGGTACCATCATTGTATTGTACCAATTAAGTCATTACCTTTCGTTCATAATTTGTTTTAAAATATGAAGTGGTGATCGTTTAGATCTTATCAAATGAACCACTGGATTTTAATATTTGTTAGTTGTAATAATAAGTTTTGATACGATTTTAATGTAGGTTTATCTAGGTTTACACTCAACACTCAACAGTTTACTTTAATTGGCAATTATACCTAAACAAAAAGGTTACCTTTAACACTATTCGACACAGTAAGCATAATTAATCGATTTCATTGACGAGTTTAGTTATCGTTTTTTTTATAATGCATATTATATATTATATAATTAAATAATCAAAACTATAATATACAATAATTGTTATATTCGTTTTGAGTTTGTTTGATTAGCTTGACAATGTTTGACTAGTTGAAAAGTTAAAGTTCAGTTAAAAAGTTAATTTTTTTTTATCTTTTTAACTTAACTAGTTAGTTTATTTTCTAATCAACTTATGAACTTAAATAGTTTAATTTACAATTGAAATAACTTAGCTTTTCTCAGTTGATTTAAAAAAATCCATTAAGTTAAAACATTTTGAAATTGTTTGTTTATACTTAAATATTACGAATTTCGAACGCTCATAAAAATTTAATTTGACTTTATTATAGACATTTTTATTTTGATAAAGATAGATAATCTTATAAGGCATCTTGTATTACATTTTCAAATCTTAGATTTAAAAAGAAAAATTTTTACGAATTCTTAACTCAAAATAATTTTCTAATTTTCGTGACTTTTCCATATTTTGTCAATTTTTGAATTTTAAATGCTTATAAAAAAAAATTGTCAGTAAAGATTTTTAATATTTTTCATTTGCCTTTGAAACAATATACTAATAGCCCTCTATTTAATTTTCAAGCTTTTTTAACCAACAAATACAATTTTATTGATATTTTTAGAAAAAAAACTAAAAAAATATGGAAAATGAAAATGTTCCTTAACAGTTCAAATCAAATCATAATATTTTGAAAATTTTATCGTGTACAGAAAATGCTAATATAAACATTCAGTCAAAATTTTATGTATCTACGGTCATTTATTTAAGGGTTGCACCAAAACCAAAATTATTTTTTTCGAAAACAGATTGTGTGTAAAAATTCCCGTTCTATTTTAATTTTTCTTTTGTTTTTCACGGCACTTTTGAAAACTACTAAAAAAAATTATACTTTTGACTCCCCAAAGTACCAAAATTCCATTAGATGGATAATTACGAACGTTTGGATGTATTTTATAAGGATTTCGCAGAATTTCTGGCAGGGTAGTCATATATAAGTACATAACACATTAACACACACACATATTACGTATATATATTCATATTCACATCTAAGTTATTAAATTAATTTGGATGGGGTAACCTCGTTTAACTACATTTACGATAGTAAAAAAGTATTTTATGATTGACTATCAATTATCATGATAATAATAATGAATATTGAGGGGGGAAAGTTCGCAGAGTAGTCAAGTGCATACTGGTTGGTACTTTGGGGGGTCAAAAGTAAAAATTTCCCAGTAGTTTTCAAAAGCACCGTGAAAAACAAAAGAAATATCTATTATTAATATTATTTGAATTATTATGAGTATTTGATCTATAAAAATCCAATTTTGGACAAGTAATTTATTACCTAGTACCTTGTTCCCAACACTTATAAATATTTTAATTTTTAAGAAATTGTTGTTTTTAGTGACTTAAAATGGTGTAAAAAAACGTTCAAAGCTTATGAAATAATTAGTGTCTTACATTAAAATTAATATTTAATACCCAATAAATTGTCATATTATATATTATCTATAAAATATAAAATTACTAAGCAAATTGTAGAAATTCAAATCCACGGAGAGCTTTATTACACATCGTTTTTCTCGTAAAATCGCAGGGTTTTTGATTTTTTCGATGTAACTTGTTGTTACATTTTTTTGGTCATTGATCAAAAGCTTAAAAATTCAATAATATCAAATAAAACCAAATAAATTACATAACAATAATAACGTCTATTATTATAAATACTAAATGTAGGTACACAAGATTACGGAAATTTAGCCATATATTTTATAATTTATAGGTAGGTATCATCTTTTTACATAAACACTTCTTTTGATCCAGGGCTAGAATTCTGACCGCAGGGCAGAAGTAACCTCTGTCAGCTACTGCAGATCATTGGCTATTAATTCCCCAGTGGCTTTTAAACGTCGCTGCAGTCTTGGCTCCCTCCCCTCTCGCCTTTATTACGCCTGTGTAATACGCCAAGGTGAGCTTTTGTCCTGAGTTCACAGCTCTTTTGTGTCCAGCTAGACGCCGTTTTGTTCGCCGGACACTTTGAACAAATCCTCCGTTTAGGCTCGCCTTTTTTTGGCGTTCGCCCGGCAGACATTTTTTTGTCCTCTCGTTCGTTGAACCGTTTCGTGCATCGGCACCGGCTTCGGCCCTTTTCCGTGTCTTGCGCCACGTCGTGGTCGTTCCCGTTTCCTTTAGTAATATTCGTTTTTACCTACAGCTTTTTCCATAGCGGTTATATTTATCAAACTGATAACAGTATAGTCACATGGTTTACTTATTGACTACCAGACTACCTATACCAGCTATTATTAATTTGTCAACAGGAATATTAAATTGATTTTTGACTTGCTGTCATATTTAAACTTTAATTGTACATCTCCGTTATATAGTTGTACTTTTAATTTTAAGTTGTTAGTGTTTAAAGCATCTTAGCATTTTCACTAGTTAGGTATTTTTAAGCTCTGGTTGTTTGGGTATTTAACTTGTTGGTGGTAGTTCTCTGTTTCTGCATTTCTGAATAATCAATTATATTGTATTCATAATGGATGAATTCATTAAGTTCTTAAAAAATAATAATATCATTGCGGTTCTAATAAATGAAGTTTCTAATATAAATGAAAAGATCTCGATTCTTAGAGCCAATATTAATAATGTTAATTAAGTCACCTTACTGTGCTGGCATACCCAATATTTATGAAACATGACTCTGAAAAAAAAAATGTCTTATACATTAATATTAATCAAATAATGAGAGCTATTTTTACTTACCTTGATGGATTGTCAAGCTGAACAACACGAATCCAATTAGTTATCGAAAATTCTTGGTAAAGCATTATGAAATTCTCAACTTCATTAACATTATTAATATTGGCTCTAAGAAAACAACACAAACAACTAAAATATCGTTGCCATGTACGTGAATGTTTCAAAAATCTACAATTCATATCTGTGTCACATAGTTACCACTTGTCAATATTCATTTCTTGTGTTCATTACGGATAAATTTGATTCTTATACGTATTTCTGTATAATCTTCTCCGTTAATTGTGCCTATATAATATTTTCAAATAAATATGTCATATAGATGTGTATCTATGCCTAACATGGCTGCGATGTGTGAAAATTCCTCAGCCAAATCGACAGATATTGGATGGCGATCAACGCCAAATCTCAAGTTTACCGTACCAATGATATACGAAGACCGGAACCGTCGAAAAATTGTGATTCCGAGGGTTTTCTGGACGGCAGGTTCTGTGTATCTGAGCCGAACATTCCCATACATCCAAAATTGGCTGGCGAGACAGCTGCAGATATTGGGTGGCGATCAACGCCAAATCTAAAGTTTCAACAGGTCACCAGTGATGTACGG